ACGATCATCCTCTCGCATTGTAAAACTTACTTTGTTGTTGAGAGTAGAACTTTGACTGTAGACTTTTTTTTACCAAAGGCTTTAACCCTGGAGCATTGAGTGGGGAAAAGACTGCACGTTTGAAGGAGGAATGTTGTGCAAAATTGAATAAAAAAGCATGCCTGCCTTTTTTCTGACCACAGTTATCAAAACGTTACACGAGTAGAGCATTTATTGCATTTCTACATTTAGTGTTACAGCAGCAGTTACATGATCAAAAACAGCAGTATCATCATCAGCATCATCAGCAGCAGTTATATGATCAAAAACAGCAGTAGCATCAGCAGCAGCAGCAGCGACATCGTCATCATTAGCAGCAAACGTAGGGACAACACCAGCATTAGCAACAATGCCACGAATCTGGATCATCCTCTCGCATTGTCAAACTTACCTTTTTTGTTAACAGTTCAGGTTGCTGTGACTTGTTTTACCAGTGGTGTTAACCCTCGAACCTTACGTGGGGCAAATACTGCACATTAGTCGGGGGAATGTGGTGCAAAAGTGAATTAAAACTCCATGGGCAGATAGCTCGTAGTCGTAGGTGTCCATTGCACATTTCGTAATTTGTTGCTTCCACTTTCCTCTCTGTCTTGTAGTGCCACTATGGCTCAAGTAGTGGCCACATCTTCTGGCACCAATCTCTTAATGATGTCGTCGTCAAACCATTCTCTGTTAGCTCTTCCTCTCTTTCTGGTTCCTTCAATTTTTCTGAACAGCACACTTTTAATTTTCCTGTTGTTGTCCAAATAGTGCCAGTTTCTTTCTCATTACTGCCTGCATCATCATCAGGTTGTCTTCTTCTATGTGCAACCTTTTTCTCACTTCTACGTTTGTCACTCTTTGTGTCCAGCTTAGATGCAGCATCCTGTAGGGGTGATTGTCACTCACCATTCAACAGCCCTGTAGTTACACGTATTGTCAATAGAGTGCAGAGGCGTTATCTCACCAGGGTAAATGCCCATGGGCCAGAAAGAGGCCAAGGGCGGATCCCAGTGAAACGGATCCTGGCACATATTCCCCAGGCCCCCGGGTGGGGTGGACCGAGGGAATGATGTCATCTTCCAGGATGGCCCAGAGTGTTCCAGAAGGAAGGCGTGGCTAGGGCGGAGCAAGCCACGGATGAGTATATAAGCCAGAGCACTCAGAGCTCTGGCTCAGTTATCTGCACACTGAAGACTGAAGACCGGGCTGGAGAATAGGACCCTGAACCCCAAGCTCCACAGTCCTTCTAAGGGCCGGAGCTCAGTGAGGCCAGTGGTCAGGACCCACGGACCAGGAGGTCAGGGTCAGTTAGTCTCCCCTAGATCCCAGCCGGAGGACGATAGGGAACGGGTTAACAGTGTTAGGTCCCGTATAGTTCGGAGGCCATAGCTCCCTAGGTATTGGATGAAGGGACCGATATACCCTTCATGATAGGGACCCTGTAGTAAAGACAATAAACAGCGTGTTGCCTCAAAAGAAGTGTATTCGTCAGTATTTACAATACTACACTTCTGTAGCAATACTTTTCGAGTGCCAATATCTTATCTCTGTTGGTCTTTTTTTAATGCCCAAGTCTCGCAGGCATACAAAGCTGTTACTGAACCCGCATGTTCTTAAGATGTTCAGCTTGGTCTTGCAACAGATGTACTTGCTTCTCCAGATGTTATTGAATACTGCCGTTAAAACTCATTGACAGTTATCAAAACGTTACACGAGCACTGCATTTATTTCATTCCTACATTTAGTTCTACAGCAGCAGCTACATCAGAAACACCATCATTATTGGCAGCAGCAGCAAGAGCAATGCCATTACAGTATCCTGATCATCACGGTCATCATCCCGTAGGTAAAAATTACTCCGCTGTTGAGAGTTGTTGAGGATCCTATCTGGCAACAAAACTGACACCTTTTTTTACAAGGAGTCATGTTTGCATAGACCACAATACCTGCAGTCATAATGCAAATGAAAAACATAACTCTGATAATGTATGCACTGTCCTTGAAGTTGATTGGTCCACACCCGAGACAGCTTTCCTTAGAGCCTAGTCTCACATGGATTGGACCAGATGACGCCAAAAGGCGCACAACTCAAAGACAATGCACCATCAGAGTATGAGAGCTCGGGGTAAGCATTTACACCATTGGAACCTAATTTGCCAGTAAAAAAATATGATAATTGTTTTTTTACCCTTCTATCTGGCAACAGAACTGACACCTTTTTTTACAAGGAGTCATGTTTGCATAGACCACAATACCTGCAGTCATAATGCAAACAAAAAACATAACTCTGATAATGTATGCACTGTCCTTGAAGTTGATTGGTCCACACCCGAGACAGCTTTCATTAGAGCCTAGTCTCACATGGGTTGGACCAGATGACGCCAAAAGGCGCACAGCTCAAAGACAATGCACCATCAGAGTATGAGAGCTCAACTTCAAGGACAGTGCATACATTATCAGAGTTATGTTTTTTTGTTTGCATTATGACTGCAGGTATTGTGGTCTATGCAAACATGACTCCTTGTAAAAAAGGTGTCAGTTTTGTTGCCAGATAGATGGGTAAAAAAACAATTATCATTATTTTTTACTGGCAAATGAGGTTCCAATGGTGTAAATGCTTCATAGGCGTAGCTAGGGGGGGGGGGCAGGGGGGTACATATGTCCCCGGGCGCCAAGGTAAAGGGGCGCCAAAATGAGGCTTACAACGTTACATTGTAACTTAGTGCGGCGGGCGCGGCAGCCTGAAACTACTACACAAATCTACACCTCAACCTAAAAGTTGATATATCCCGCCACACACAGCCGACATTTCATGTAATTACATTTTGGTACGCGCGCCTATTAAGAACTTACATGGAAGAACGTCCCAAACAACAGACAGGCCTTAGTCACTGGCCTGTTTTTTGGTGGCGGAAACTACAACGGCCTATTTTTAGTTCTTATTAGTGACACCACGCTCCAGGCGGCTGCAGCAGCCGCAGCAGCCCACGCACGTTCAATTACATCATTCGAGATTTGAAGCTTTCGTGACTGCAAGGATTCATATTCTTAGGTTTTTTCGGTAAAGTCACATAGGTAAAAAAATTACAATTAATAAAAGTTATTTTATTTTTATTTTACTTTTATTAATTAAATTTTTTTTACCTACGTGACTTTACCAAAAAAACCTAAGAATATCAATTACATCATCATGGTTTAAACGCCGACTAGCGAACGGAGAGGAAGTGACTCGTTCGTGGCTATTATATTCACCAATCAATAAAGCTGTTTACTGTTTCTGTTGTCTATTATTTACATCATCGAGTTCAAACTCACGAGCTTCGTTTGAGTTAACAAACGGTTTCAACAAGTGGAGAAAGCCAGAAAAACTAAATTCTCATGAAAACAATCCTAGCCACCACACAGCTTTTACTACATGTGTAATGCGAGCGTAAATGGCCTCGCGGATGTGACGTAACAGGTGGGAGGAGTTAGGGTCACGTGGGGAGAGGGAGAGCTTTTAAGGGCAGGAACCGGAAGGGCTAGAGGAGAGTGTGGGAGTAAAGACAGGAGGAGGCCACGCAGGGCAGGAGGTGGAAAAGTGGCGTGATCGTCACAGGCTGGGACTCGGCACCGTTGGCCAGCGGTGTCCGGGCACAGAGGAGACCAAGGGAGCCAGCAGTGGGGCTGCATAGAGAGCAGCCGTGGGGCTGCAGGTCGGAGGCAGAGAGGCTGAGGAGAAGCCAGCAGCGGGGCTGCATAGAGAGCAGCCGTGGGGCTGCAGGTGGGAGGCGGAGAGGCTGAGGAGAAGCCAGCAGCGGGGCTGCATTGGGAGCCAGCAGCAGGGCTGCAGCAGCGGAGGCAGCAGTGGGGCTGCCGAGCGGGAGACAGAGGAGATTGGAGATTCTGAGCGAGACGCCGTGCGGGCAAAGTTGTAAGAACCACAATAAAGGACAACGGAGACAGACCCAGTGCAAGAGTCCTTTATTACACTGGTGTCAGAATTGAAACGGCATGTCAAAACAGCTCAGAAGAAAGAATATCCCCGCACCATCGTCTGCTACATCTTCCGACGACGACGACCTTCCTCAGGCAGTGGAGCTGCCGATGATGGAGGAAGAAATCGACGCGGGGACGAGTGGTGGGCCGGGGGTGGAAGAGGTCGCCGCTTCGGTGCATCCGCCCGCGCCGGAGGACGCTGACCAGCGATGGAGGCAGATGGCGGCCCAGTTGGAGACTTGGCGCAACTGTGCGACCTCGTCACGCCGGCGACGGCTTCGGGGAGGCCCAGAGATGACCAACGGACCAGGGCCTTGCCTGCGCCGCCAGCGCCCTCTGCCACGCGGCACGAGGACGCCATCTTGGGCGTGGCAGGGGAAGAACCGCGGGAAGCCGCCATCTTGCGCCCTCCGCGGCGGGAAACCGCCATCTTGGATACGTTGCGGTGCGACGCCATCTTGAACATGCCACGCGACGCGCCGTCTGCGGAGGACAGCGGAGCGAGGACCCGCAGCCGTCATTTGACAACAGTTAAAGAATTTTCAATCGGAGGCGACTGGAGTGCATTCGTCTGCCGATTTTTGGCGGCGGTGCGCTCCGCCAGATGGACTGATGCGGAGGCCCTGGAAGTTCTGCCAACTCTTCTCGACGATGAGTCGGTCAGATTCTTCCGTTCCATCAAGGCCGAGAAACTGAGGGGGGTTTTTGACGAGATGGCGGATGCATACGAGCCACCGGATGACGCTCACCGATGATTCGTTCAGCGCCAGCGGGCGCCCGAAGAGTCGTTGGTGGCATACAGGGGTGCTGTCCTGGAATTGGCTATGGCCGCATACCCTGAGACGGAGCCTGACTTACTGGAACCCCTTATTTTGGGCAAGATGCTTGAGCTGTCGAGAGATTTGGGGATCCCTATGCCGGTGTGGGGCCATGAGAAGCTGACGTCTCGGGCAGTTGCAAAGTGTTTGGATGCCCAGTTTAATCTGCGCCGTTGGAAGCAGGTGACGGCGTGGACGGGGGGGCCCATCGTGGAAGGGGGAGCCGTGGGTTGGGACCCCAAGAAGGCGGTGTACGTTCCTCATGGGGGGGGCCCTCAGGAATTGACGGCCGCCTCTGCGCAGTGGCCTGCCCGCGAAGGGCCGGGGCCACGATCTGCGCTGCCGACGCGGGAGCGTCGACCTGGGGGGAGTGCTGTGCGTCGTAATGACGTTGAGTGCTTCCGCTGCAGTCGCAAAGGCCACTACGCCAGGGATTGCTGGGCCCGTATCCCGGGGCCGCCCCAGCAGGAGGCCTCGACCGCAGACGTGCCGCGGAAGGACCCTCCTGGACAGGCAAGTCGGTGCGCACCAGACACCCGGCAAGGCTTGGCACCTCATTCATCACCGTTGCCGCGCGATCCGGGTGTCGTTAACAACGGGAGGCCGCCGACTGGGCCATGTCGCTCGGTAACGCAGTGGCGTAAATTGGCATGGCGGGTTGTGGCGGCCGCTACTGGTTCGTCCACTGTGCCAGGTTCTATACAAGGGGTCGACGTGCGCATTTTAGTGGACTCCGGTGCGTCCGCGACGATTATATCGGATGTCATTTTCCATCTGTTGAGCATCCCGCCGGACGCAGTGCGCCCGGTTTACGATTCCTGTGTAACAGCGAACGGGGGGAATATGGGCATTGTGGGCCAGGTGGACGCCAATATATCCATCGGGGGGGTGTCGGCCTCGGGAACTGTGTTGATTTCGAGGTTCCTTGTGGTTCCGTGTTTATTGGGAACTGATTTTCTGGCCAACATGCCCATTCTGATAAGAGTTAATAAAAATTGTATTGAATTACCGGGAGGTCGAAAAATTACATTTTTGCCGTCGCCCTGGGGGCGACCCGCTCCGGTCTGCCAGGTGCAGGCGCTGTCTGAAGTATCTGTTGACATTCCACCTGGTTCACAGATGTTTATTCCCTTGCGATATCGGAAACCGGTGCCTGGTCGGGAAGGAGCGCCTGGGGTTTTGTTATCGCCATCCGCAACCATAACGGGCCGATCGGCGCTGGTCGGGGCGCAAACTATTATCCGGCCGGACCAGCAGCCATTTTTGCAGGTGCTTAATGGGAGTACGGAGAATGTTTGCGTGCCGGCCGGAACGGTCGTGGCCCATGCCACTACAGCGTTCACGGCCCAGCACCATCTGGGCCGCCAGGATGTGGTTGCTGGAGTTTCGGGACCTGGGGGCCAAGATGATCGCTGGGTCGCCGAATTGTGTGGCGAAAATTCATCCCTGACTGGGGAACAGCGATCCGCGCTTCGCACGCTATTGTTGGGTTATTCCGATGTGTTTAGCATTGACGATTTGGACTTGGGACGTACCTCCCTGCTTTCCCATCATATTGATACGGGGGACGCTGCTCCGATTCGGTTGAACTCGCATCGGATGAGCCCGGCGGAGCGAGACCATGTTCGTGGGGCAGTGGATGACATGCTGGCTGCGGACATAATATCTCCGTCTAACAGCCCATGGGGCGCGCCTGTGGTCCTGGTCAAAAAGAAGGACGGCAAATTGCGATTTTGCGTCGATTTTCGCAAATTAAACAAAGTGTCTGTGGCGGATGCGTACCCCTTGCCGCGTATGGACGATTCCCTCGATGCCTTGTCGGGGGCAAAGTTCTTTTCGACGCTGGATCTCTCTTCGGGATTCTGGCAGCTTCCCCTCGATGAGTCCTCGCGGGAAAAGACCGCTTTCCGTACGCCGCAGGGTCTGTTTCAATTTAATTGTCTTCCGATGGGGTTGAATGCTGCCCCCGCCACATTTCAGAGATTGATGGAGCTGGTATTAACGGGGTTGCAGTGGGAGACATGTCTGATATATTTAGACGATATCATCGTCTTTAGCCGCACATTTGACGAGCATCTCCAAAGACTGGAGGCGGTGTTCGCCAGGATGCACTCCGCCAATCTGAAATTTAAACCGAAGAAATGTCACCTACTGCAACGGTCCGTGCGCTATTTGGGACATATAGTCAGTGCCAACGGGGTGGCCACGGATCCGGAGAAGACGGCGTGCGTCCGGAACTGGCCAACCCCGGTCACGGTGGGGGATGTGCGTCGTTTTTTGGGGTTTGCCTCGTATTACCGTAGGTTTGTTCCAAATTTTGCAACGATCGCTAGGCCTCTACACCTCCTTACGGGTAAAGGACGGAAATTCAGTTGGGGACTGCCAGAGGAGGTGGCGTTTAAAGACCTGCGCGATCGTTTGGCAACGGCGCCGACATTGGACTATCCCGATTTTGATCACCCCTTCATTCTGGACACGGACGCGAGTGACACGGGCATTGGGGCCATTCTGTCACAGTCCAAAGGCGGTGTGGAACACGTGGTGGCGTACGGTAGCCGCGTCTTGTCCCCCGCGGAAACCCGCTACTGCGTCACTCGCCGCGAACTTTTGGCCATTGTCTGTTTTCTCCGCCAGTTTCAGCCGTATCTCTACGGCCGTTCGTTTATTGTGCGCACGGATCACGCGGCTTTACAATATGCTCTGAGGGTGGACCAACCGTCTGGCCAGCTGGCACGATGGTTTGACACTCTGCAGGAGTTTTCCTTCCAAATTCAACATCGGAAGGGGGCGCGTCACGCGAATGCGGACGCGCTCTCCAGGTTACCGCAAGGATCTCCTTGCGCTTGCGCGTCGGGTACGCATAGGTGTACGCCGACCCAGCAGCCCCCTCGGCCTGTTGCGTTGGCGGTCGAGATGCCTGAGGCTCCTGTGTGCCCGGGACCGGCCGATGGGGTTCTGAACCTTCCACGGGCAGTGTGGATTCGTGAACAAATGCTTGACTCGTTGGGGACCCTGCGGAGTCGGGCTACAAAGGGAGGGGGGGGCCTGGGTTCCGGGGGGGCGCCGGGGGCCGCTCTCCGCGACGGTCTGCTGATGTGGAGGGAGGGGTTACATGATCGCTGGCGTCTGGTTGTACCGTCGTCGTTACGGTACGAATTGGTTAGGACTCTGCATTGTGACACGCTATTACACCTGGGGGTGCAGAAAACCTTGGTGACGTTGCAGCGAGACTACTTCTGGCACGGCATGACGACGGATGTCGTTGGGCACGTTCGCGCGTGTCCCGAGTGTGCCCGACGGAAGCCGCCTAAACACCCATATGTGCCGCCGATACAGTCCATACATGTGTCTCGAGTTAACGAGTTGGTGGCGTTGGATATTTTGGGACCCTTCCTGCCATCCGCTAAGGGTAATAAATACTTGCTAGTTGGGGTGGAGTATCTCTCCCGCTGGCCGATGGCCTGGCCCTTGCCCGACCAGTCGGCGGCGTCCATTACGGACGCCTTTCTATTTGGATATGTCATGGACAAAGGGGCGCCGGAGAGGCTGCTCACGGATCAGGGCCGGAATTTTTCTTCTAAATTGTTGGGGGAGGTGTGTGCTACTCTGGGGACCAAAAAGATCCGGACATCCCCCTACCACCCGCAGACGGATGGCATGGTGGAACGACTAAATCGGACGCTGTCAGCCATGCTGTGTCACACGGTTAATGAGAAGCAAGCTGACTGGGATTTGCACATCCCTGGAGTACTCTCGGCATATCAGATGACGCCTCACGCGTCCACAGGATATTCTCCGTTTTTTCTTATGTACGGTCGCGAAAACGTGCCGCCAATGGATGTGCAGTTGGGAACGGGAATGAGAGGACCTACTAAGCCTCTCCCCGATTACATTCAGGACGCCGTGCGCCGCGTCGCTGAGGCGAGGGAGGGGGCCAGGGTGGCTACTGCCAAAACCCAGGCCCGGAACGAACGTTGTGCGCGACGCTCGAAGGGGAAGTGCCCCTGGAAGGTGGGGGACATGGCTTGGCTGCATTGCCCGCAGGTGCGAGCAGGAACCTCCCCTAAGTTGCATAAGCCATGGCAGGGGCTTGTTAGGCTCATTGAGGTCCCTAACCCGCAGTCCGCGCGTGTTCGGTTCGGATCTCGGCGCTGGTACGTCCATACGTCTCGCTTGAAACCATACGTGGCCCCTCGAATGGATGCGTCATCTCCTGATGTTGCCTTGCCGGTGTCTGTTGCTGCCGACGCACCCTTGCCTGTGCCTGTTGACCCTGCAAGAGCGCCTGTCGTGCCTTCTACAGACGAACCGGCCGTGACACAGCGGGAGGCAGCGGACTCTGCTCTGGGTGGGCCTACCACGGCTGCGGGGACTCCTGACCCCGCCGCCCCTCCAACCCCACCACAGACACGGTTGCGGGACACCCCGGACTCTAGTCCTTCGGGGGAACGGGACCTTGGCGTTGGCGGGCCTCCAATAGCGACAGGCGGTTTTGATCCTGTCGCTCCTAAAACCCCGTCGCGTTCTCGGTCTGCAGGGGGGCCGCCGCTCGTCCGGGACGGGCCGGTGACCCGCACGCGTTCAAAATCCCTTTCTTTTCGTTGATTGTTGTTCTCGTTCTTGTTGTTACTGTTATATTCGTTGTATTCTCCGTTGTTCGTTCACGGCTGATAGTTGAGGGTCGCTCGCATTGCTTGTTTTGTTTCAGCCGAGGACGGCTGGAATTTTCTCTACGGGGGACGGTGGTGTAATGCGAGCGTAAACGGCCTCGCGGATGTGACGTAACAGGTGGGAGGAGTTAGGGTCACGTGGGGAGAGGGAGAGCTTTTAAGGGCAGGAACCGGAAGGGCTAGAGGAGAGTGTGGGTGTAAAGACAGGAGGAGGCCACGCAGGGCAGGAGGTGGAAAAGTGGCGTGATCGTCACAGGCTGGGACTCGGCACCGTTGGCCAGCGGTGTCCGGGCACAGAGGAGACCAAGGGAGCCAGCAGTGGGACTGCATAGAGAGCAGCCGTGGGGCTGCAGGTCGGAGGCAGAGAGGCTGAGGAGAAGCCAGCAGCGGGGCTGCATAGAGAGCAGCCGTGGGGCTGCAGGTGGGAGGCGGAGAGGCTGAGGAGAAGCCAGCAGCAGGGCTGCATTGGGAGTCAGCAGCAGGGCTGCAGCAGCGGAGGCAGCAGTGGGGCTGCCGAGCGGGAGACAGAGGAGATTGGAGATTCTGAGCGAGACGCCGTGCGGGCAAAGTTGTAAGAACCACAATAAAGGACAACGGAGACAGACCCAGTGCAAGAGTCCTTTATTACACATGGAAGCCGAACGAAGGATAATTGATGGTACTGGAATTGACGCAGTGGTTCAAGCTCAGATTCATTTGGAAAACAACGTTGGCGAGATATATTGCAAAGAATACTCACCTGTATTAAGTTTCTGGTTTCACAAAATTTGGCACTACATGGCCATGAGGAAAATTTGATCGCGGATGAAAAAAAATGTTGGAAACTTTCTCGCGCTGATCAAACTCGTTGCGCAGTATGACCCATTGTTAGCAAAACACGTACAGCACGCATGAGAAAATCCGGGATCAATTTCTTATTTGTCACCGGAAATCCAGAATGAATTTATCCACATACTTGCGTCGACTGTAAAGAGCCATTTGTTGAGTGATATCAGGAAAAACAAGTACTACGGTATCTTACTTGACTCAACTCCTGATCTAGGACATCGGGAACAGCTTTCTCAGGTCATAAGATTTGTGGATGTGGATTTTCAAACTAAAAAAGTAACTATCAAAGAATAATTTTTAGGTTATATCGAGATACATGCAAAAGATGCAGCAAGCCTAGAAAGAGTCATCGTCGAGAGACTGAAATCTGACAACATACCTCTAGCCGACTGTTGGGCACAATGTTATGACAATGCTGCTGTGATGACTGGGCATATATCCGGCCTTCAATAACGAATATGTGACAAAAATCACAGAGCATTGTTTGTCAACTGTGACAACCACAGCTTAAACTTAGCAGGAGTACACTCAGCTAAACAGGATCCACTTGTCGTCACATTTTTTGGAACAGTTGAAAGTATATATTTGTTTTACTTTCGTTCAACAATTCGTTGGGAAGAGTTAAAAAAGCTGTGCCCATCACAGTAAAGCTGGAGTCTGAAACACGCTGGAGTGCACAATCAGAAGCTGTTAAAGCTATCTATGAAGGACTGGATGGACTAGTAGGGCTGCTAGACAAATTATTGGAGGACGTAACAATGACGCCTGAAACCAGAAGTGATGCAGAACAGTTACAGCCATGCGTATTACATTTTAACTTCATAGTTTTATTACATTTCTGGAATGTCATTCTTGGAAAAATTGGTCGTGTTCAGAAGCACTTACAGGATCCTACTATGAATTTCAAGGAAGCAGCAACTGATCTTGAATCTTTGGAGCATGAATTTGTCAAGCTTCGTGATGATTTGAGCCAAGTTGCTGTACAAAACGCCAAAACAAGATGCACAGCCTGGGGGATCGATGTGGACAGAATTAGGCGACGTCGGAAGATGCCAGGAGAAATGGCAAGAGATGCAGGACTTTCAGCAGAAGAAGAAATTGTGCGCGTTATGAAGAGCGTATTTTATCGACTTCAACAGGAGATGTCAACACGGTTTTTACGACTAAAAGACCTGAAAACAAAATTTGTATTTCTGCTGGACGTCAAAACTCTTCTATCCAACACAGATGTCGATGCAATTCGTCGAAATTGCACAGATTTTGGAAATTTCTATGACACCGACATCAATGGCCATGAACTTTTCACAGAAATTCGAGATTGCAAAATGTTGCTCAGTAACCGGAATGAAGTTCTACCAGAAACTCCTTTGGCTCTTCTTGGTTTTATTGTGTTTTATGGAGTCGACATATTTCCGAATTTGCGAATTTCACTGCAAATGTTATTAACAATAGCAGTTTCAATTGCAAGCTGTGAGCGGTCGTTCAGCAAATTGAAACTTATTTAGTCGTATTTGCATGCTTTAATGGGACAAGATCGTCTCAGTGATCTTGCTCTTCTTAGCGTTGAAAGAGAAACATTGGAAAAAACAGATGTTGATTACGTGATTGACCAGTTTGCGACAGTGAAATCAAGAAAAATGTATATTTTGTAGACTGTCAACCAGTCTACGACAGTAACTGAGTGAGCCATGTAATATAATTTCTATAAATTTGCTTCTTTAAATACAATGTTTCATTAAAATTGAAATTGTTATTCCTTATTCGATGTAATAGGAAAATGTGATTAAACGGGGGGGGGGGGGGGGGGGGGGGGGGGGGTGGGGGAGGGGGCGCCAATTTTATAGTTCGTCCCCGGGCGCAAAATATCCTAGCTACGCCTCTGAAATGCTTACCCCGAGCTCTCATACTCTGATGGTGCATTGTCTTTGAGTTGTGCGCCTTTTGGCATCATCTGGTCCAACCCATGTGAGACTAGGCTCTAAGGAAAGCTGTCTTGGGTGTGGACCAATCAACTTCAAGGACAGTGCATACATTATCAGAGTTATGTTTTTTGTTTGCATTATGACTGCAGGTATTGTGGTTTATGCAAACATGACTCCTTGTAAAAAAAGTGTCAGTTTTGTTGCCAGATAGAAGAGTAAAAAAACTATTATCATATTTTTTTACTGGCAAATGAGGTTCCAATGGTGAATGAACCTCTGCAGCTGTAACGCTCAACAAGGAAAGGTGTCCGTAGCTCGGCAACCAGGGCGGCGGTTCTTTAGCGAGTGGCCCTCGGCAGCCCACACGTACCACGTTGAGCACGTGGTATATCCCGCCCGTACACGTACAGGGCAAAAGACTAAATATAGACGAACATATATATATAATAAAAGAACAAACGTGAGGTTCTAGAGTCACATCGTATAATGAAATACCCCTTGAAAAATTGCTTCTTGAAAATGTATAATATTGGAGAGAGGAAGCTGATTTATATGATGGGATCTTGCTCATTTGTACAGGTGTGCTTATTTCGTGTAATACAATCTCTATGCAAAAGCAATTCATTAAAACCTTTCTTGTTGTTCGGATTCAAGTATACATATTTGACACAGCAAGCAGTAAACGAAACATCTGTCGTGACATCGTTGCCGGCCTGGGAGAGAGGCACGGCACGCCATGTATTGACATCGCAAACACCACTGAGGGTGGATGCAGTACCGGCCCTAGCGGGGTTCAGGGAGCACTGACTGGCAGCAATAGATGGCACCACGTGCTGCGAGCAGTGCCAGCCTCTACAGGATGGGGTACGAGGGTGCTGGCCTCGGAACGGGATTTCAAAGGGGCCATGGCACTCTGGTTGACCCCGGAGGACACGTGACCGGAGGTGTCTACCCCGGGACCCCCAAAGGGGGGCTGGGGTGATCACGTGGCCAGTTGGAGATCCTCCTTGAGAATTCAAGGTGGCCGTGGCTAGGGGCGGAGCGAGCCCCGCCACACAGAATATCAGCCAGGCCCCCAGTTGGACCTGTGGCTGTTGTTCATCCCGAAGACTTCACGTCCCTGCTTCACGTTCCACGTCCTACAGAGTCTCCAACACGAGGACCCAGACCCGAGCTGTGGTCTGGTCCGTTGTAGCTAGTCACGTGTGATTAGGGGCCGTCCATAAATGACGTCACGCGATTTTGGACGATTTTTTACCCCCCCCCCTTCATCACACGACGTCACAAAAAGTCAGAACCCCCCTCAAATATGACGTCACAAAGCTCTGCCCCCCCCCCCCAAAAAAAACATGCTTCAAATCGCTTTAGACTATTGTCATTGTAGTGCGTATGTAATGTGGCGCTGCACTCTGATGTTGTAGGAGAAAACATGTATTTAAAAGTTTCTCAACCCCCCCCCCCTCGTCACACATCGTCACAAATGTCTGACTTCCCCCACCCCCAGGTGCGTGACGTACAATTGCGCATTGAACAGCCCGCACCTAGGGCTAAGATTGCCGACCACATCCATGCTAATGTACGTCGTCTGGTGGATGCTCGGGAGGCTGCTTAAAATAACTCGCAAGCTCGTCAGCTTGCTTACGAGCGGTTGCAGAACCTCTGCATGTCCCGCCATGTTTGGGCAGAAGGGAACCGCGCCTGGCTCCACTGCCCACAGGTACCACTGGCTACTTCCTCAAAACTGCTTAAGCCTTGGAGAGGCCCGGTTGTTATTATCCGCGTTGTTCGCCTGCAGTGCGTCAGGATCCAGCACGGCAAGCGCTGTTGGTTCATACACCCGTCATGCCTAAAACCTTACATTCAACCCTCCACAGGCGTTGGCGGCCTGTACAATTCACATCCCCTGAGAGCTCGACATGTCCGACGAGCCACGCCGCGACGATGCTGGTTCTTACTCTCGGGCAGGTCCCGTTGTCCCGCCCTCAGGTGCCTCGGGAGTGAAATCGGCCCGGCCACCCGCCATGGCCAACCCAGCGGGAACGAACTTACCTGCGGGATCGGCGGCCCAGGACACAAGCCCAAAAGCGGGTTGTCGGCCCCCTCCTGCCTCCATCGCGACCGATGAACCTGCCACTTGGACTCACTC